ATAATAATGCGTATACGTAAACAATGTTTACATATAAAAACAGTTTTTGTCCAAATTGTGAAAAAAAAAAGAAGCCACCAAAATAACAAAATCTAGATTTTTTCATCAACCCCATCAAAATCGAAGTTCAGTTCTTTATGAATTTCAGCTAAGATTCAAAATGGGGAGTAAATGGAGAAAAGCAAAGCTTGCATTGGGTTTAAATACATGTCTTTATATTCCAAAAACACTTGAAGATTCACCGGCGACGGCGTCGGCGTCGGCGTCGACGGTGACCGGAGGGAGATTATTCGATGCTGTTTCATTGTCTCCGACGACCCCAAATAGAAATTCCGACTGTCATGTTGATATGCCCACCACACCCACCCCTTCATCCTCTGGTCTTCGTATGCCTAAACATCATAACTCCAAATCTTCTAAGGTAAGCAAAAAAAAAGATTGAATTTTTATTAATTTATTTGGATTTATCTTACTGAAAATTGAAATGGGTTGGTGATTTCTTGTTTAAATTTTGATGTTTTTCACTTTGTTTAATTAAACTCCATTAGTATATTCTCAATAGTGAAAAATTGATTGTGTTTGGTTGGTAAAAAGATGTTTACTGTAGAAAACTTTTATCTTTTGTTTGAGTGTTGAAAGTATTTTGATGATATTTTTGAGTATTAAAAGTTGACAAAAATAACCAAGTGTGAACTGAAATTAGAGTAAAGATGCTATCTTTTTTCCATCTTCCTAGCTAAGTTTCAACTCTTAAGTTTCTTATTTGTCTTTAATGAGATCATTTAAGTAGTTTTGGCTTTCTTTTGTTTTTTCTATTAATTGAAGGTAGGTTCATAATATGTAGTGGCGGAATCAGAATTTTTAATATAGAGGTTCAACGCATAACGTAAAAACATTCTAAAAGATTTGACCTTGTATATATAGTGTAATTTTTCTAGCAAAGGGGTTCGGATTGTGGAGGACCCTTTTTGCCCTTCTAGCTCCACCCATGATACGATGAGTGTGGAGGCAAAGACGGAGCCAAATAGTGTCTAGGGAAACTTATTTTTCATATATATATATATAGTAGATGTTATGTCCCTTCTAGCTCCACGCTTAATATGATAAGTGTGGAGGTAAAGACGGAGCCAGATAGGGTCAAGGGAAATTGTTTTTCATGTATATATAATCCCTTTGACTTCTTCGTATTTTGAACCTCTTAATGAAAATTCTGACTAGTGCAGTGTGTGGAGTGAAGGACACTATTTGCCCTACCTTTCAAGTGGTTCTTATTGCTATATAGAAAGAAAGTAGTAGTGTTAAAGATGGTGATGGCTCTTTGTATTGTAATGAAATTTTTGAGATTCTCAATGTTGGGTGGGGATAAAAAGTAGATAGATATCTGTGAAAGGGGAGGACCCATATTAGTGGTCCACTGGTGTTTTCATTGTAAAAAGGAAACATCAGAGAGTAATTTTCTTGGAGGGGGAAAGTGCTTTGCTTGGTCAGCAAATGCACTATTTTTTACACATATGACTTTAACTCATTTGGCCATTTTCAATCACCCCTTTTCATGACATTAGTCCAAGAAAACAAAAGCCTGTTCAACAGTTGATTTGAGAGCTTTCTTGCCATTAAGTACTTTCAAGAAAGCATCCAAATCCCGCCACAGACAAAACACTAGGTGATTTCTTTCTAGTGGTCTAGCTTCGGTGGACAGAGTTACCTGATACTTATTGCTGGTGTGAGCCTGTGAGGTGACATGCATTTTGTGGAATTAGTAGGAACAGAAAGCAATTTTAGAGTTGAAAAACATTTTTTCTCATCTGCTCTAGCCTTATTGAACAAAGTTATTTGATATCTGTTGTTGGTATTATGTGACATAAATTTTGTGGAATTAGTCCGACGTGAGTTGAAAAACAAAAAAAAAAGACAAAAAACACTAGGTGATCTCTTTCCGTCCGTTCTAGTCTTGGTGAACAGAGTTACTTTATACCTATTACTAGCATGAGATGACAAGTGTTTTGTGGAATTAGTCGAAGTACTTCCAAGAAAGCAATTACAGAGTTGAAAAAAACAAAAAAAGATTGGATTTTTTTTTATCTTAATTAATGGCTGAAGCAATGATTTCTACATCTTTTGATAACGTGGGGTTCTTGATTATTTTAAGAACACTGTATTTAGCTGTCTTGAAAATTGCTTCATTATTCAGAGTTTCTTAGGTTTGCATCTACTTTTCAAAAGTTTTTTTAAGTATATGTGCACCACTTTGCTTTGATATTTGACTACTCAAAACATTTGACTTTATTGTAATGGTAGACCTGTCTTGCACATGTAATATTATTATTATTCTTAAATAGCCATTAGTTGTGAAAGTATTACTTAATTGCCTAGACATCATCAATTTCATCTTTTTATGTGGCTGTCTTGATAAATGTAGTTGACATGCAGACATAAGAGGGCCACACTTTATATAATGACAGTAATCTTTGCTGTATGATGGCAAATATTACGGTAGATAGGCCTACTAAGTTTTCATCCAACTATTTTTCCTTTAGTTGTCATAAACAAATGAGATTTTTTTTTTCAATACAGCCAAACCTCGTTATAGTGACAGTGTTTGTATACTGACGTTAATATTTTATTTTTATGCATAATATGTTTTGTACAAATCATTATTACATAATATTTTAGTATGACTGTTATAAGGGTAAATTTACAAAGTGTGTACTTCTATAATGAATGTCATTGCTATTATAGGTAGAATGTTGTTATAGAGAAGTAAAATATAAATTGAAAAATCGGTTTTGGAGAAAATCAGTTGGTTATAGTGAAATGATATTATAACGAATAACTGTTATTATCAGGTTTGACTGTAACTGGCGGGGAGTTGGTAGGTGAGCTGAACACTATCTTTATTTTGTGCGTGTTTAACTGTTGTGTCCATGGCAGCTTGCGCTCACTTGGACTAGTTTCATAGGTACCTGCTACCTCCTACCAATACGAACACCAACACAATCGTTGAGTAACTCTATCCACCAAGTTTTCAAAATATGAGAAGAATTTAACTTATGGTTTAGCCTTCATGGGTTCCTGGGGCTCTGTATGTTCAAAACATAATCTAGAACTTAAAATGATGTTGGACTACTGAGAATTACAAATAAATTGAATTAACCTGTCTTTGGTAAATCCAAAGATGTCAACTTTTTGTAATTTAATCCCTTGTTATCAAGGTCTGCGTACACTCTACCCTCCCCAGATCCCACTTTTGGGATTACATGGGGAGTGTTGTTGGTGTTGCTATAAAGAAATGAGTGATTACCTCAGTTGAAAAAAACTTGGACTTATAAAACTTGAATGTGAAAGCTACACTTTGGATTAATGATTGAATTGAATGAATGTGTGCTTTTCGAAGGGATTTCAGACATCCGTTCTCTTGAAGTTTTCGAGATAAGTTCACGTTGGCTTATTCTTTCAGAATATTCACGGTTTTTAATACTTTACTTATATGCAATGCAGAGTACTTGTGCGATATGTTTGATGTCGATGAAACCAGGCCAAGGTCATGCAATCTTTACAGCAGAATGCTCACATTCATTTCATTTCAACTGTATCACTTCAAATGTAAAGCATGGAAACCAAATTTGTCCAGTTTGCAGAGCAAAATGGAAAGAAATACCCTTTCAGAGTCCTCTTACAGATATATCACAGCCAAGGTCTCGGAACGGACAAGTACATTGGCCTCAACATGATGCCTGGATGACAGTTGTAAGACAGGTCCCTCCTGCACGATTGGATACCAATCGCAATATTTCTAATCTTTTTCAAACTGTGGAACCAAGTGTGTTTGATGATGATGAAGTTGTTGATCACCGACCCATGGGCAGCCAGAAAAACTCGTCAACTGATGCGACTAATCATCATTCTATGGGGGCTATAGAAGTTAAAACATGGCCGGAGATCTCTGCAGTTACAAAATCAGCATCTCACAGCAATTTTGCTGTTTTGGTGCATCTCAAAGCCCCTCACGCTGTTGGCCTTCTAAACCAGAGTGGGATGCCAGTTACAGGTCAGAATTCCCGAGCTCCGGTTGATCTTGTGACTGTTCTTGATGTTAGTGGCAGCATGGCTGGTACCAAACTTGCTTTGCTAAAGAGAGCAATGGGGTTTGTGATTCAAAATTTAGGCCCTGCTGACAGGCTTTCTGTCATTGCCTTCTCTTCTACTGCTCGTCGTCTCTTTCCTCTGCGTAGGATGAGCGATACTGGCAAGCAAGAAGCACTACAGGCCGTGAATTCACTCAGCTCTAATGGTGGGACAAACATTGCCGAGGCCCTAAAGAAGAGTGCCAAGATCATGACTGATCGCAAGTGGAAAAATCCAGTTAGCAGCATAATACTGTTGTCTGATGGACAAGACACGTATACCATTAACAGTCCTAGTGTAGCTGCTATGCAGACAAATTATCGGTCATTACTTCCTGCTTGCATGCAGCGTAATGCAGCTTCTTCAGGTCTCCATATTCCAGTCCACGCATTTGGTTTTGGTGCTGACCACGATGCAGTCTCAATGCACTCAATCTCTGAAACTTCAGGTGGAACATTTTCCTTCATAGAAGCTGAGAATGTTATTCAAGATGCTTTTGCTCAGTGCATAGGTGGCCTTTTAAGCGTGGTGGTTCAGGAATTGCGTGTGGAAGTTGAATGCGTTCACCCTGTTTTGCGTCTCAATTCAATAAAAGCTGGAAGTTACAATGCTAGTTTAGCATCTGATAACAAAAGTGGCAATATTGAAGTTGGAGACTTATATGCAGATGAAGAAAGAGATTTCTTGGTCATGTTAGATATTCCTGCTGATAGATCGAGCAACGATATGATGACCCTTGTAAAAGTTAAGTGTACATATAAAGACCCGACACAATCGGACAACTCAGATTTAGTAACCTTGGATCATATTGATGATGTCAAAATTGAGAGGCCCGACACAATCGGACAACTTATTGTGTCAATGGAAGTTGACAAGCAGCGTAACCGGCTTCAATCAGCAGAAGCTATGGCTGAAGCAAGATCTGCAGCTGAAAATGGTGATTTAGCAGCTGCAGTATCTGTTCTTGAGCGTTGTCGGAAAAAATTGTCAGAAACAGTGTCTGCTAAAGCTGGAGACAGGCTATGTCTTGCACTAGATGCTGAGCTGAAGGAAATGCAAGAGAGGATGGCAAATCGTCGTGTTTATGAAACATCTGGTAGAGCTTACGTTCTGTCAGGACTAAGTTCACATTCATGGCAGAGAGCAACAGCTCGCGGTGATTCTACTGATAGTACAAGCCTCATTCAGGCTTACCAGACACCATCCATGATGGACATGGTTAGCCGATCACAGACAATGTACCTCGGTAGTCCAGCTCCTCGACCACCTCTAAGGCCACTACGATCATTTCCTGCACGACAACAGCCTAGGTGATCCTCAACACACCTTTTCTTCCTTCAACTTCCAAGAATTGGTTATGTCAAGACTGATCTCCTGTTTCGATTTTCGGGTTTTGGGAAATCATGGGCTAAAGGGGGGGTATATTTCTAGTAAAATGTACATTAATAAAGAAGATTTTGGCAAGAATTGAGTGTAAAACAAAAGACAAATAGCTAGTAAATTGGCTTCAAGAGGAATTGAGTGACCTAGAGCTGAGGCTCTATCGGAAACAGTCTCTCTACCTTCCAAGGTAGAGGTAAGGTCTCCGTACACTCTATCCTCCCCAGACTCCACTTGTGGGATTATACTGGGTATGTTGTTATTGACTATTATGGGTGTATAAAGGATTAATCCTGTGTTCTCTTTTGGTGAGGTTTGGGGCATAGTCCATTGTAATTGTGGGTTTACAAAGGGGGGTGTTTCTTGAATTTATATATGAAAAAAAAAACTCTTCACTATTCTATGTGAAGCTCAAATTTAGTGCATCAATTTATTCTTCTTTGCTCTTAGATGGTTAAAGCATGCTATTTTTTTTAAAAAAAAAGTTATCGTATCAGGCTTGCTATGAAAAGTTACTTTTTAGAGTTAACTCGACGATGTAAAAAATATGTACATATTGAATTCCTTAGTGGCCATCTTGGACCGAGTGTAAGGTTATGATCCGCAAGGAAACAAATTATTCATTCTTCCGTTGAGAATAGGTGCATGAATGAAATACAGGCGATATGTTCATATTTTAGATAATTGGGTAAGAAGAATCAAGTAAAGGATGAAGAAAGAAGGTTAGATCATCGATTTCAACTCGATAATGCTTTTATTTACTATCATAAAGTTTAAAATTCGAAGGAGAGTCTTAGGGCAATGATAAAGTTATTTTCTTGTGACACAAAGGTCAGAATTGTTCGAGTTGTGAAATCAACTATTGATGTTTGCGTCAAAATAAATTGCCTACAAGACGTTGCCATTGTACCTACTAGAAGGTGGTACGTTACAATTGAAGAAGTGGAAATCAAACACTTATAGGAAAATTTAATTGTTTTAAAAAGGGGAGTACCAAAGGCCAATCTAATTATAAAGTGCATAATTAGTGTACATATTAATTATGCACTATTATTATATGCGGGATTTGAGAAAGGATCGGATTGTAAAGGTCTTTTATACACAGTCTTACTCTGCATTTCTGCAAGAGACTATTTTTATCATTCGAACTCGTGATCTTCCGATTTCATGACATCAACCACCAAAGCTCCTCTTCAATTATGCACATGTGCTATATAAATTGAAAGTTTCAATAATCATGATTTCGCACTACTATCAACTACACTTCTACTCTAATCATCAATATTCACACTCTCTTATCTATAATCATAAAAACGCTCTACTATCTATAATCTCTGAATAATCATAAAAATGCTCTACTATCAACTACACATCTACCCTAATCATCAATATTCACTCTCTTATTTGTAATCATATAACATTCTAATCACTTCTCTCAATTTTTTTTCTCAATCTACCGCTATTTCTCCTTAAATCCAACAATATATATATGTATAAAGACATGTTATATATTTATTAGTAATTTAAATAAATGTACCTACTATCAAAATTTACTGTCATTATATTCATTTTTAATGATGACATGATTCCAATAGCGTATTAATGATATGGGATCCCAATGGCACCATATTAATAACAATATTACAAATGTCAGTGATTTAAATCTGTGCTAAGTAAAAATGAACGAAAAGAGTTTTTTTTTTAAAGTTTAATTGCATGATTTTTTTTATCAAACTAATCTTACATTAATTACGTTTTGAAACTCTTAATTTGATAAATACTATTTTATTTAGTTATGTAATACAAAGAATAATATTAAAAATACAATAAAACTATATTAATTTATTAAAATAGTAAATTAAATGAACATCTATTTTTAATATAAAAATTATCAAATAAAATATCAAGTATTTATCTAAATTACTCGATTCATTCTCATTTTTATTTATCACTACTTTTGAGACTTATATTTTATAACACTATTAATATATATTTTATCAGGTAAAAGATATTTATAAGTAAATTTTATTAAAATGCAAATTTAAAAATATAATATATTACCTGTACAAGACACAACATGGAAATGAGGCGGTTGATTTAATTCAATATTATGCGATAAGAATGTATCATAATGGATTAAAGGTGAGCTTTATAAAGTAGTGACTAGACCTATTGTTAGAGGCGGAGCCATGTACATATTTAGGGGTGTATGTGCACCTGTTAACTTACATTTTTTTTTTTTTAGAATTAGTAGAAATTAAATATAATTTACATTGTCCCATGAAAAACATTATAGTGTCGTTTGAACAAGAGTGTTGATAGGTCAAGAATACACATATCCACAAAATGCTATTTTAGCCAAGATAGATGTGTGAAAATATTAGAAAAAATAAAAAATGGTAGAAAAAATATTTGTAAAAACGAAGCAATCTTCGATAAAATGAGATAGAGGTAAATCGAATTAGTCATGGAGATCAATGATTAAACAAGAAATGAAAATCTTGCATGAAGCTTAGCAAAGACATGACCCTTAATAAAAAAAATATGAAAATCGAAAAATTGTGACAGAACGTTAGTAAATATTGAAACATGTTTTTCTTTCCGGGTTCATTAGCTACTATTTGTTGTTGTCATTATTTTTTACTTTACGTATCTATTGTTTTATATGCTTTACTTAAACTGATAGTCTATCAAAAATATTTTATTTTTATTTTTATAAAGATAAAGAATAAAACTAGATACATATTTCCTCAATTAATTGTTATCGTACAATTATGCAAATCAATTTTATTTTATATACCTATTTAACTAAGTTCAATCATTAAATCAAAGATTTTTTTTTTTCTCTTAGTCAACTATATGCCACGTGGCAACTGCTAAAATTCAAATTTTTTATTTGGCTCTGCCACATTGGGAAGTCCAAATTTCCACATCTGGGCCCACAAGTATATACACGTGGCTTCCTCGAAATCTGTGCAGCTCAGTCGTTGAACTCTGCCAGCTTTTTACTACTACTACTCTGCTAATGCTCAGTGCATTGCCCATTTTCTTCTACTCGGCATCGGAATTTTTATTTTTTCCCTGCAGCTTTTCCGGTGAATTACGGCATGTAAAATTCCCCTCAGCTAATTTCTAGTACACGTGGCATTGCCGGCAGCTTCTCCGATTCGATAACGGAGAAATACGAAGAAATAAACAAACAACAGCTCGAAGTCACCGTCGACGTCGCCGGAGAATTTTATAGGTACGGCGTCGACGAATTTTAATTTTAATTAATTTCCAGTGTCGGCACAGGAAAAAAAATTAAGAAATAATAATGACGATTATTTTGTATTATTATTGGTGTTTAGATTTAATAATGATGGATATATTAAATTAATGGTACATTCGTTTTCAATGAGTGTTTGAAAATAAAGTAATTGGATTCTTCATTTGTGGACCTATTGAAAATAATAGCAGCACAAAATTACTCAAATTAAATGCTAATTTGACATATTACGTGAACTGTTTTGTATGAAAATTCAGAGTAAAAATAATTGTTTTTTTTTTGTTGTTGTTGAAAATATTCAATTCTTTCATTTACTGTTGGAGCCAATATTCACGTTTATATTAAAGATTAAAGAAGAAGCATAAATCTCGTAGAATTACACCGGATATATTGTTATTGTTGTTAACGAACAGATCTTTTGGGGTTATAGTGGGTAGGTTGTTATTAAAGAACATAAAATCTTGTGTGATGGAATTACACATAATATATTATTATTATTATTGTTTGTTAAAGAATATAAATATCATTAGGTTGCAAGTATTGAATATGTTATTATTGTTAAAGAGCATAAATTTGATAGAATTAAACAGAATATATTGTTGTTGTTATAGAACATAAATATGCTTATTTCTTTATTTATTTTATTTAATTAAGTAGAGTATAATTAAATCTCATGGAATTACACTCGTTATGTTGTTATTGTTGGTGAAGACCATAAATATGCTTATTTCTCCTTAATTTTATTTGATTAAGTAAATGATAAATCTCGTAAAATTACACTGTATATGTTATAATTGTTGTTAAAAGAGCAAAAATATGTTCATTTCTTCTTAATTTTATTTGATTAAGTAAATGATAAATTTATTATACGAACAAATTGAAAACCAAATCAGCACAAAATACCAAAAAAAAAAAGGAATATTTTTTGAAATTTTGTAATTTTTCCCTCTTCTTAATTTTATTTGATTAAGTAAATGATAAATTTATTATACGAACAAATTGAAAACAAAATCAGCACAAAATACCAAAAAAAAAAGGAATATTTTTTGAAATTTTGTAATTTTGTAATTTTTCCCTCTTCTAAGAATCAAAATATTGGTAAATTAGACAAGAAAAGCATCAAATATTTTAATGTTCCCTTTTTGTTAATTTCTACTTTATTAATCTTTACTCGACAACCGACACTAATTTTGTGGGTCTCTTTTTAAATTAAAAAAAAATATATTATATCATATCATATATGCACGTCTTTTTAATTAATTTTATTTTTTATTTTTATAAAAACATCACTTTCAAGAAAGTCGTAATAATACAAGAAAAACAAACTCTGCTTAGCTACTTGTAGTTGATGTTGCAGGCCACAACAGCTTTTTAGATTCTATCAAAAATGTCTTGGAAGCAAAGTTTTTTCTAACCGTTGGTAAACACTTTACTGTTTCTACCATACCATATTGGTCAAAATGTATGACGGGGTTACGGAAAATTATATTGTTTATATATGGTTAAAAAAATTATTTTTTATGTATTGTATATGGTAGATGATTAACCCCATTTGGTTTCTTGATGTGTGACTCGAAAATTGTACTGTTTATATATGATTAAAAAAGTTTTTTTTTTTTTTATGTATATGGAGCAGTAGATAATGAACCCCATCTGGTTTCTTGATGTGTTTTGTAGTCGAAAATTGTAGTATGGTTAAAAAGGTTGTTTTTTTATGTATATATTTAGTAGAAAATGAACCCCATTTGGTTTCTTGATGTGTTTTGTAGTCGAAAATTGTACTATGGTTAATTTTTTATTTATTTTTTATGTATATATATGGTAGAGGATCAACCCCATTTGGTTTCTTGTTGTGTTTTGTCATTGAGTCGAAAATTGTACTGTTTATATATGGTTAAAAACGTTGTTTTTTATATTTATAAATAGTAGATGATGAACCCCGTTTGGTTTCTTGATGTGTTGTGTCACTGAGTCGAAAATTGTACTATGGTTAAAAAAGTTGTTTTTTAATATATATTTATGGTAGATGTTGAACCTCATTTGATTTCATTGTATGTTTACTTTTTCATATTTTGAACTCCTTAATTTAGTGAAAATTCTGTCTCCGTGCGGTGGCTTCTAATTATTAGTTTGTTACTGTATTTTGAC